ACAAAAGATATTAAATAAATAGTTATACGGACTTTGCTGATGAATATTTCTGACCAAATAACATATCAAGGATGCTAACTGTGCTATCTTTGTAATAAATACATCCATGAAATTTTTATTTTGCATTAGTTGAATATTGTGGCTGTTATTTTGTAAAATCTCTTTAAAATTAAAGTAGGACATTGGACCTTTTGGCCAGGTTACAAATTAAAAAAAAAACAGCAAGCAAACACATTACTATAATGATTAATTATCTGGATGTTTTACAGGGCATAGTCAAATAGTTGTTTGTTCGATATGTGTTATTTGTTGTGATACAATTTGTTTGGTTTTTACAATATGATTGCTGAAAGTCAAATTGAAACTGTGTGCCCGCCCTGTCCTACAGTTAAATTTGCATGCTATGGTTGAAGAAGAAACCAAATATGGTTTGTTTGTGACAGCTTCGTATCTCATAAATTAACCAAGTTGGATATTTGACATTCACTTAAAGCATGCAAATTGATGCCTTCGAGCTGTATATTATATATATATATATATATATATATATATATATATATGTGTGTGTGTATTATAGATATGGTGCTATATGGAGATTTATGGATATATGTATGGATATGGATATAGATATGTGTATTATGAATATATGTATAAAAGTATACACGCTCGTTTGTAACGAAGTCCGTCCCTTGTTTGATCTCAGAAACAGTCAGCACTGCGATGATAAAGGCAATGGACAATCTCACAATAAACCTGCTAAGAGCTTTTAGTTAATTTACGCTTAAAAACAAATGAATGAACGTAAGCTAAATATTAGTTAAGTATTTCTATGTTTCGATATACATTGAATCCCCGATTCAGTGAATTGAACTACAAAAATATCTAATTTATTTACAAATTCTAAACTAAATAAAAGTCTATAATTTTTTAATTAAAATAAATTGATAGAAGAGCTAGGTTGTAACAGGGATATGTAGTAAGAGGCGTTTTCGATAGGGTTTCAAACGATATTAAATTTGTTTTTTGTCTCGATTTCACATGTAAACCGCCCTGCATATTATTGTCACAGCTACTCTCCCACAGGCCGATGCAATATACAGAATTGTGCAGGTGCGTCAATTTTTGACATGTAATATAATATGTTTTATCCCAAAAATTCAGCCTGCGTATTTATTATCCACTAATTTCAAATATCTAAATTTGCTTCAAATTCATCAATCTTGATAATGTGTAACAATTTTTGTTATTGCTGAATTGTTTAGATAGTTGTCTTGAATAATGTAAAAAAAATCACACCTGAGGTTATTTGAAACAAAACCTGACAAGTTGTAATATACAAGAATTATATATAGATTCAAGTGAAAATGATTAGATGTAATATACAAGATATGAGTAAATGTACATTGTGTTATAGCAGACACTATATTGTTTATTTGTAGTTTACGTTGATTTATGATAAGAATTTCTATCACAGAAAACACTCTATATTTTATTTGTATTAATGTTAGCTTACGTTGATGTATAAAAAGCATTACTTTCCTAAAAATGAGTAAAAAATAATTCATCAGAGGTATTATTCTTATTTTTTTATCGTTACGTCTTGCCCCGGTAGATGTTGCAACTAGCCCCAAACGCGGGGTAAGTTGTAACTCCACACTTTTTCTTGAAAATGATTGATTTTCAAATAATGAACGATTTGTAATGAAATTATTTTTACTCGATACGGTAAAGGAATAGTTATAGCATCTATTCATCTTAATTTAGTAGAAATATAATCTGTGGATCTTCAACCTGGAAACCTCAAGAAATACAAAAATTTTCAATTTTTGCCCTATGGTAAGTGTACCTATACAAATTAGATGTTGGCTGATTCTCAGTCATGCTGAACGTTATTATACAATCACATAAAAATCGGTCAAACCGTTTCGGAAAAAAGTTGCGAGGAAAAACATGGCACAAAGATTTCATATATAGGTTAGGGCGGGGCACAAATGTCCAATTTCCAAAGGGCGGCGGTCCAATTTGACTTTGAGCAATTATATAGTTTTATTACAACAATTAACACATATTGAACAAACAACTATTTGACTTTGTTCAGAAAAATCACAGCTATTTTATCATTGTCAAAATATGTTTTTTTCCTGGTTATCAAAAATGTTCTACTTACCCATAGGCGCAATAAAATGGAACGGCCTGGGTCAAACTGGTCCAATATCTCATTTTATGAAATAATAGCTAAACTATTAATCAAATGCAAAATATAAATTTTATTGGTACAATTTTAACAGAGGTGGCACTGTGTATAACCTTGATCTAGTATTTTGTCAAAAATATTGATCAGCAGAGTTGGAATAACTATTTATTCAATTTATCTTTTGTAAAATAGCTTTTTTAACCCAAATTACTTTTTATTTAATATTTATTATTGTTTACACTATTGGCAGGGTAAAGATTCAGTTGATCACCCACCAAAGTGTAAGCGTCTTTAGAGATTATATATGAAAAACTGTTGAATTTAACTTAAAAATAACAATGCATCTTATAAAAGAATTAAATAACGTATACTTAAAACTTATATTAAGATAAATAAAACAACATTCCTTACAACGAAAAAAACTAACAACGATACAACATATTTTTGTTATGGATTTTCAAACCTTTCCGTTAATCTCCCGATAGCAACGTCGTAAGGATCAAGGTGAAGGCTGGTTATACAATTTTTTTTCTCTACTTTCAAGCATTGCAGGTTAAAATTTGCTAACTTTGCTTGTTTTTGAGATATCGGTGGTTAACCTTTTTACACGCGGATCTTTAAACCCCGCTCTACCCCATATATATATATATATATATATATATATATATATATATATATATATATACACATAGTAAAAAGATGAGAAGTGCACATGTGAAAATTAAAACATAATAATTATATTACAAAAACGTGCCAAAAGCCAATGAAATTATTTCATTAAATAGAGGCATCGCTTAGTCGAGTAACAATGATTAAAAGGCACCCAGGACTTTGACCCAGTTATTTGGTTATTTTGCTAGCGATTATATTATTAACAGTTGGCAAGTTGCGACGTCATTTCCACCTGGTTGATTTGCAAAATCAGGTGTGCAGACGAGCCGAATGACGAGTACTTCAAAGCGGCCGCCTGACGTCACGCTTCATCACCAGCCCGAGCTGAATCGCCTCTACCCCTGATTAATAGAGACATGCTATGGATAGCGGGATAAACGAATATATGCTCTCGAATTGCAGTTTTAATAATTAAATAGCTGTTACCCCTGTTTATTTAATAAAGTGCAATTTGTTGTCAGTTTTATATTTTACTGTTGAAAATACATATGTCCAAGTCCAGTAACAAACTTCTTTTTAATAACAATACAATATTATATAAACATATTTATTAACATATACATTAGGGCGGGTCGATGTGCATGGGTAAAAAAAGTCGCACAGGTGACCCAAAGATTGGGTAAAATTTTGAAAAATCCTGTTGTGGCTCCAAATGTATGACCAACCCCCACTAACTTTGGAAGTAACCCGTCCTCAGGATATTGACATAATGAATATAAATATTATGAGTAATTGAGTTTCAGACACATTGTTATTGACATATTTTTACAACAGTCCAGTTAAGAACATTTAACAAATTTGATAATTTACAATTGTCAGCTGTGAAAGACATTGTATAAAATAATGGCATCTTGGAAAAATGAATCGGTATAGATAGATAATAATACCAATATTTTTTTCAGTGATTACAATATGAACTCTTTTTTTTTTTATAAATAATAAAAGTAAATTCTTTCAATTGTCACTAGGAATCAATGTTGACTTATAATAAGATCAAGTATCAATTTTTGTTTCAATCATAGACGGTAGTTTACTATTACTAAGGAGTTGGCTATGGTTAAAAGATGCGAATTGTAATTTTTCATAGAATAAATATATAATGTGGACAAATATATTGAAAACATTATGTTTGTAAAAATGATCGAAATGGTTTGAAGTAATATTTTAGTAAAATATTTAGAATTAATTTAGAAACAATATTAGAAAATTTTCTGTTTTAAACAACTTTCTTCTTTCTCTTAAAATTTCCAGCAAACCTCAATAATTTATAAAAACTTTTATTTTCTGATTTATGATTAACTTTAATTTATATGCTAAAGTCATGGATTTATTTATATAAAATGGTTTAAAAAAGATAAATTTTTTAATTTGGCACAAAAAAATTATTATTATAAGAATCATGAGAACATTAAAAAAGATTCAAGATAAATATTTAAAAAAATCAAAAATGTTTAAAATAATTAATCATAAGGGTGCGTCCATTAATCACGTGAGCTTTAAAGAGGAGGGGTTTGACAAAAAATCAAGAAATACCACTTGGGGGGGGGGAGAAGGTTCAAGTAAGATATCATTTATTTTTAACCTCAATTTTAAAAAAATCAAAAATTTTTAAAAAATATTAATACATTTCAAGATTTTTTCTAGGTTCTAAAAATACACGTAATGTTGTGTGGAGGAGTGGTAATTTTAAATATCACAACGTATCACCAAGAAGGAGGGGAGGTCCATTAATCATGTGATTAATGGACGCCCTCTAATTTATTAAAAATAATAATAATTGTCTTTTCCATATAAAACTATATTATACTAAATATCGTTATAATTGTATCATATAGATTTTTTTATTGTGTATATAGTTTATATTATATCTGTCCAATAAATATCATATAGGTAATATCATATACAAATCGAAAATATTTTGCAGATTTGTGTTTCCAGAATTTTGTAAATATCATAAAGATAATCGAGAAAATATTGACATTTAATTTCTATTTCAGGTATATCAAACATGAAGAAAACATACAATGGAATTGAAATCTAGTTCTTTCTGGCACGACTAAAATATGATTTATAACAAATAGAATTTAATGAGATAAGTTTTGATGCAACAGGTATTTGTGAAGTTATTACTGTCATGAATATCAGTTTCAACGACGTTTGGACAGACGCAAATAGTTCTGATTATTATCCGACAGTTGACTATAAAAATTTGTGGAATGACACAGAAATCGACAATATCGAGACGGATCTGTGGTTGCATTGGTCTAAACTGGCTCAAAAGAAAGCAGGATTATTGATTTTTTTGTTGCTTTTTTCAACTTCTACACTATTTGGAAATATGCTTGTAATCCTGGCAGTAGCCCGAGAGCGTTACTTGCATACGTCGACTAATTATTTTGTGACGTCTTTAGCCGTGGCGGACTGTCTAGTAGGAATGGTTGTAATGCCCTTCAGTGCCATCTACGAAGTTTTGGACAACACTTGGTTCTTTGGCTCCGACTGGTGTGACATTTGGCGCTCCCTGGATGTCTTGTTTAGCACCGCTTCCATTCTGAACCTTTGTGTTATAAGCTTGGATCGATATTGGGCCATAACCGATCCGTTTACATACCCGAAGAAAATGACGCGAAAACGTGCGATTTTGCTGATAGCGACAGTTTGGATATGCAGCAGCGCTATATCATTCCCAGCCATAGCCTGGTGGAGGGCCGTTCGCACGAGTAAATTACCCGATTACAAATGTCCCTTTACGGAACATCTAGGCTATCTCGTGTTTTCTTCAACGATTTCATTTTATTTACCACTATTCGTAATGGTCTTTACGTATTATCGCATATACAGAGCCGCAATAATACAGACTCAATCCTTGAAAATTGGAACTAAGCAAGTGATGATGGCTAGTGGAGAACTGGAACTGACACTGCGCATCCATCGTGGGGGCACCGCCAAGGAGCACTCCGGAGCCGTCTATCTTACCCCTACGGCGACATCGACACCTGAAGAGGCGCCGGACATCGATGACTCGCCCACTGTTTTACATCACAACGGGGTCGGGCGTCTTAATTCAAACAGAATGGGCACTAAGCACATAAACAAAAATTTTTCGCTAAGCCGCAAAATTGCAAAATTCGCTAAAGAGAAAAAAGCGGCAAAAACTCTCGGAATTGTCATGGGCGTTTTTATTATATGCTGGCTGCCGTTCTTCGTCGTCAATCTCCTATCTGGGTTGTGCGTGAATTGTATCCAACACGAAGAAATAGTATCGGCGGTAGTCACGTGGCTCGGATGGATCAATTCTAGCATGAATCCGGTAATATATGCATGCTGGAGTAAGGATTTTAGAAGGTAAGGGGGTTATATACATTTGTCTGTGTATATGCATGCGAACAGTAACAAACACACTTATACACTTTTCAAAATAGAGCGATAGCTCGTAACCGGGTTAATGATACAAATTGTAAAAGATTATCTTTTACTAACAAAAATTTGATTAATAATTGACTAAATGAATATATGAAACAACAATTTGCCTTGAGATATGTTACAAAAACTTACCGACATCTAAAAATATTCGAGTAATTAAGAAAACTGCAACTTCTCTAAATTTTTAACAGCTTTGTCTTTTAATTTTTTAAGCACTTTCTGAGAAAATTTCGACATTTGCTTTCAAAACGTTTTATGGTTATATTCAATAAAATTCATTGAGTTATAATTTTCTAGTCAAATCCAAAAAAAATATGATTGATTTATACAGAAATAGAGACGTTTAATATGAAAAACCAGAGGAAAAATCAGAAATTTGTTCAAAATACAGTGGTAAACCGTAAGCTCGCTCGCATGTCGAATTGTATTTCGAAGCAATATTTTCCATATAAATACATTGAAATGCTATTCAATTCATAGCACAGTGTTTTTATTATTAATAAAGATAAATGAGACATTTATAATATATACATATATATATATATATATATATGTATATATATATATATATACTCGTATAATATAAGATCAAATACATATTCTTCAAAATGATATTCATATTCTTCAAAATACATATTCTTCAAAAACATAATAAATTTCTAGATAAAAAAATGATTAAGCTATCATTATACTAGTTTTTGATTTTAAAGAAACTATCCAATGAGCATTTTTTTAAACTAATTATAGTATTGCGAAGATGAGTTGCACATGTTTCATCAAACAACTCTGATGCTCGACCAGCTGCATCTATTTCGGAGTAATTTTTATCCACAAACTTTTCAACTTTGTCCCATATTGCACAAACAAATGCACAACATTAAAATTGATTAATTGAATTTTTTAACTTCAAAATAATTTACGTTTAATATTTGTATGATAGCTGAATGCGACTTCACATACAAAAATCTTTGATACAATTACTATGAGATGAATCTATTTCATTCGCACCGCCATAAGTTTCCGTTGGGCCTCTCACTCGCACGTTCTCGAATACTTTCTTTCTCAAAGTGGCAGTCTTTCTCAAAGTGGGCGATATCGTCCCCAGGTGGACGATTGTAATATCGAGGGGGGCGATAAGAGGCCCCTAACTAATTTTTTTCACATGTATACACTCGTTTTATTTGCTTTCACTTTTGAAAAAATTTTGATTTTCAAAGGGAGCGTTGGAAGAAATAAGTTTGAGAAACGCTGCTCTAGAGCTTTGTGATACTAGCGGCATCGCTTCTTTGGCGGCTCGTATCATGAATTTTGCTCGTATAAAGAAGCAAACGAGCCGCGACTCGTATCTCGAAAAACACATATGACGATTCGCTCGCAAGGCGGGGCACCACTGTATTAATTTTTCTGACAAAAACTAATAGTAAAAATAATTTATATTTATTCATGAATTTTATTCACTAGCTATTTGTCTATCAGTTCCAACATTTTCTTTATAATATAAAAATGAAATTAGACTTCCTGTTCCGTTCTCGGATCATTAGCATACGTTCCGATCAAAAGCAACTGTATTTCTCTTTTATCAAAGTTTTGTATTTTTATAACGTACCGTTAGAGAACATAATAACATATTTTTTCATTTTCTGTTCATTTTTCTTTTTCTCCACTAATTATGCGACTCGGAATAATATTATTAGATGCATAATCCATTATGATGACAATGAGTAGCTTTCTCATTAGGTATATATATATATATATATATATATATATATATATATATATATATATATATTTATTGATTGTTTCTTTTCCGAACAGTAAATCCAATAATACAAAACAATTTGATTTTGAAGATGTTTAATAACGACGTTTCGGAACTAGATACGTTCCATCATCAGGTTTATTCTGTAATAATTTATATATCCATATCACTAATATTTTTTGTTAAAAACACTCGATTTTTTCCGAGGATATTTGTAAATGTTGCGACTTCACAAGACTTTAACACACTCAGTTTAACAAATTGTTTTTTATTATTGGATTTACTGTTCGGAAAAGAAACAATCAATATATTGAAAAAATCCAGGACTTATCTATTGAATATATATTTAATATATATATATATATATATATATATATATTGTTGTTCCCCATCCGGCGACGGAGCCAACAAAATGTAGGTTCTTCTGCTGCTAAGTATCAAGCTGATACCAGACTGTGAAGGCGAATCGGTAAAACAGATGAAGACTTTTGAAGATTCTTGTACACTTGTCATATAACTTGAACAACTGAACTTAAATATAACATCATTGATTGAACATTATGATAACTTATTGACGACTGAACTATATTGACTGAAATATGAACTAAGAATGAACTAGGAATGAACAACGATTCCATCATCCTGCAGCTTTTATATTCCTTATCAAGATGACGCAATCATTTTCTAGAATGCTCGTTCGAACTTCGTTATATGTATCGTTATATGTGAGTCAGAAACTAAGCATTCCTTATTTATTTAAGGCGCAGCTTGTGGTTTTGCAGTTAGAAAGCCTTGCAAAAAAACGTTATTCTGAACACGTGTTGTTGTTATCTCTAACATACAATAACAGCTATGGCTCAACAAGCATACTGCGTCGTTCATATTCTGACCGTTATATAGTAATTGATAATATTATTTATAATTATTATAAATGGGTGATTATGTATATAATAACAAATCTTATATATATATAAATATATATATATATATATATATATATATATATATATATATATATATATATATATATATATATATATATAACAGCTATGGCTCAACAAGCATACTGCGTCGTTCATATTCTGACCGTTATATAGTAATTGATAATATTATTTATAATTATTATAATTGGGTGATTATGTATATAAAAACAAATCTTATATATATATATATATATATATATATATATATATACTACTAGCAATAAAGGATATAAAATTAATTTACAGTTCTAGCTGTATGCTAAGATTTTTTATTTGTAGAGTGATAACTAAGTAATTCCATTAATAAATGATTTCAAAAATATTAATTTCAACATAGCATAAACCGTTTAAATAAATTATGTCTTCATTATTATAAAAACGTTTTAGATTAGATGCAAAAAAATTAGGTAATATATCCTATATCAGATAACATATTATAGTTTCAGTTTAATTTCATTACAAATAGTAGGAATTTCAATTTTTTTTTAATAATTTATTTTAGCTTTTATATATTTTAAGAAAAATGCATTTCTATAATTCTGATTATCACAACCTAACTTATATTATTAACACTTGGGTCGGAGAGAGTGCTATACCATAAATAAATGTCAGAAGATTCAAATTACAAATGACAAAATATTAGAACAAGCTTAAATATTACCAACATTCTTACAAAATTGCAAAATAGTATTTCTTATATTAAATTTCGAACATAAATCATTCTTGAATCGACTCAATTGTAAATCATGAGATATTCAATGAATTACACAATAATGATTGTTTATGTGCAGTAAGTTTTACAAATATGTTTAATATTTTTTAATTTCCAGAGCTTTCGCCAGAATCTTATGTGCATGTTGTCCGAGAAAAGTCCGAAAAAAATACCGACCAACCTTGAAATCGAAATCACAGGTAATTAAATATAGATAACCCGATTGGACCCGATCAAAACCTACTGTAGACGCCACTCTACTTGCCCGTCCATCCGATCCCGCAATTTTATGTGTGTGAATTTACATATCTTTACTATAATTTTAAAACAAAAATATTTATATATTAATATTTGCAGAGATATGGATCCAGATTATCGTCCAGACGTTATTATTCAACGTGCTCTTTACATGGGATACAAGTGCGACAAAATAACTATGGACAATCCTACATTTAGCATAATATAAAACAGAGATCAGCACAATATTTACAAATTTAACCATAACAAATGTGAAAATCATAATAATCATTGTTTACAAAGAAAACAATAACATGTTTTTTTGAGTCTTCACCATTTGCATAATAAAAATAAATATTTTTAAACTATTCAAAAGTGAAGAGTGTAAATTTTAATTAGGAATTTTCATACTAAAAGCTGAGTTAGTAAATTAAAGCAGAACTGTTTCGACAACCCACTATTAAATATAAATATATTTATGTGTTTATAGTTCATATGAATACTTTGTTATATTTGTTTTTTGTCTTTATAAAATATTTAATGATGTTTATGTAATATATATTGTAATTATATTCATTTTTATATTTTGAGTTGTTTTGATGAGTGAGAATTCGAGCTTAAAATTTATAATTGTTGCCAACTTATTACTCATTACAGCAAGGCAAGTTTGGCATATATATACTAGATGACCCGACAGACGTTGTCCTGTACCCACGTCTACAATTCAAAAGTTAATTTTTTTTTAAATATCCTATCCTATAATTTTTAATACCCTATTTGATGTCCTGCCTTTGTGATTGATTTATGGTCTTATCATAGCAGTATAAGAAATTCATAGCAGTAAATGAACAATATCATACTTGATTTTACCATACAACATAATTGCTTCAATAATTCAGTCTCTTATTTTTATAATCTCGTATTAGTTGCTTATGGGCAATTATAATTTCTAAAGTACATTTTTCTTACTGATAATTTAATAAACAATATTGTTTATGTTCAAATCTTAGGTGTATTAATTTGTAAAATCTAGTTCATATAAGCACTCGTCAATCTAAGTTCAACTTGTTCAAACAGAAACCAATATTCTTTCACTAAACAACATTATTAAAATAGAGAAATGCAAATTAATACACAAAATGAAATTAACAGAATTAAAAGAAGAACACTAGACAACACGAAAATTTCCACATTGAACATAATAGAAAAAAGAAATTAAGAGAAAATGTGATATAGAGCGCAAGTAAAATATATAATGAACAGCCAATCGATATTAAAAATACCAGTGACGGCAATAATTTCAAAAAGAAAATAAAGAAATTGAAGATTGAATAGATATTTAAAGATATTTCATTCATAATAACTATTATATTATTGCATAATGAAATAGACAAATGATATGTATATATAAAATATGAAAATTGTATCATAATCTCTCATACCAGACACCCCTGTCTGACCAAAATATGAACATAATATATATATTATATACATTTATTTAGCAATCAGAAAATTACGATGTGAAAACTATGTGAGTGTTAAAATAAGATAGGATCCACTGATCTATCTTATATTATGTTACTTAATATATTTATATATATATATATATATATATATATATAACTAATGATTGTACTTATATACTATGTAGAGGCCACTTTCTCTTCAATCTCGAGTTTTGTTGAGGGTGCATGATATCCTTTATCGATTCATTTGAGTGCATCTCTAATCTGTTACGATATTTTGATAATAGTTCTTTGTATGTTTCGTGCACAGTCAACATTTTTAGATCGCCGTAGACAGTTTGATTAGTGACATACCAGGGTGAGTTGAGAATGGCTCTTAAGATTTTAGTTTGTGTTCTCTGCATAATTTCCAGATTAGATTTGGAGGCGCATCCCCATAACTCTAGACCATAGGTCCATATTGGGTTGATGATGGCTTTGTATATCAGTAGTTTGTTTTCGACGGATAGTTTGGACTGTATGCTCAGTAACCAGTTCATCTCCTTCATTTTTAGTAGAATTTGTTCCTTTTTCTTTTTTATATGTTCTTTCCACGTGAGTCTTGTATCTAGATGGAGTCCCCGATATTTTACTACTTGTACTTGTGGGATCATGATGTTGTTTAAATATACAGGAGGACAAGTTTTTTCACACAACGTGAATGTTATGTGCGCAGATTTTGATTCGTTAATCCGTATGTGCCATTTGTTTAGCCATTTCTCTAATATGAAGATATAGTTTTGAGTCAGTTGAGATGCTAATAGAGGATTTTGATTTCTGAATAAGATAGCAGTGTCATCTGCAAATGTAGCTATAATAGAGTTAGAAGGTATTGGTATATCTATTGTAAATAATACATATAATAACGGTCCCAGGACGCTGCCCTGCGGGACACCTGACTCTATTTTACAGAAATCTGACAGTTCAGCGTTCACTCTAATCTGGAATGATCTGTTTTCTTAATATGATTTTAATAACTTAAAGTATTTAACTGGAGAGTATTTTTTAATTTTATACAACAACCCAGAATGCCAGACCTTATCAAAGGCCTGACGAACGTCTAAGAAAATGCCACTGCAATATTGCTTTTGTTCAAATGTTTTATTAATATTTTCAACAATCCTATGGATATGTTGAGTCGTTGAGTGTTTATGTCTGAACCCGAACTGATGTGGCGGCATCCAGTTGTCTGTCGGTAAATCATAATTAATTTTATTATATATTATTTTTTCCAGTATTTTGGAAATTATAGGAAGCAAGCTGATAGGTCTATATGACGAAACATCCGTTGGATTTTTACCTGGTTTAAGTAACATTATAATTTGTGCCTTCTTAAAGTGGTTTGGCCAGTAATCCTGAGTATAGCGTTGAATATATATGTAATTGCAATAATTGTTTTCCTCGGAATTTCTTTAATAATTTTGCCACCTATTAGATCATAGCCCGGAGACTTTTTTGCTTTTAGATTATTTATTTCATAGCTGACTTCCTTCAGTTTGACAGGGGTTATAGCTTCCACCATTCCTATTGATTTATGTAATTCTTCTGCTATTTCAATATCCATAGAATTGTCAAAAGGCTGAAATACTGAAGTTAAATGTTTGGCAAAAACCAGTGCCTTTTCGAGATCACTTCTTGCCCAAGGTTCATTTATATCTTCTCTAACTGCTGGTGCTGGAATTTTTGGTTTTTTATTATTCCGAATTGGCTGCCAGATAGTATTGTCCGTTCTAGACAGGCTTAAAATGTATTTTTCAAAATTTTCAGAAATGACTAGTTTTAATTTTGCTTTGAGCATTTGGCATAATTTATTAAATTGAGTTTTGTCTTCTGGCCTGTGATAACGTTGCCATTTTGCTCTAGCCCTCCTTTTCTCCTGTATTAGATTTTTTATTTCCAGCGGGATATCTTGTACATCACGAAAATGTAATTCTGGAGTTGCTTGTACCACTGACTCCTGAATGTTGTGAATTAAGTCGTTTATTAATTTATCGATATCTTATTCTTCATTTTTCAATCGTATTTTAAGATTTGTTCGTTCATTTAGTGTGTTGCGAAATTTTTCCCAATTTGTGAAATTATTAGGTAGCATTCTGGTGTTTTTAATAGGTATTGATGCAACTCCTATTGTTAGAATAATTGGAGAATGGTCAGATGATAAATCAAAAGATGGTTTTATTTCAGTGTAATTTTCGTCGATATTCTTTGTTATGAAAAAATCGAGCAGATCCGGTATTTTGTTAGTATCGCTCGGCCAGTATGTTACGCTTCCAGTTGATATGCAAGAGAGATTGTTTTTATCTATTGCATTAATAATTCCTTGCCTCTGGTTGTAATTAATCGAAAACCCCATCTTGTATGCTTGCAATTGTAATCTCCTCCTACAATAAATTTTGGGACTAGTTGTGCAAGAAAATTTTCAAAATCAATCTGTATAATTTTATGTCGTGGCGGCCAGTAAACCGCTGACAATGTTATGTCATACGACTGCAATTTGACTTTTATTGAGGCTGCCTGCAGGAGATCTTATTGATAAACTGGTAAAGGATAGTGGTCAATTGTGTTTTTAATTAATATAGCGGTTCCTCCATGAGCTGTACCGTCAGGATGATTGCAGTGTTGCATCGCGTAACCAGGTATTTTAAAATATGAAAAATCTGTGAAATGCGTTTCACTAATTAATAAGATGTCTATTTGGTTAATTTTTAAAAAAGTAGTTATTTCCAATCTATGTTGAATGATTCCGTTAGCGTTCCACAGTGCAATTCTTAAAAATTTAGCCATTAGTGTTGTATTTTATTTACTAAGGTTGTAAGCATATTGAGCACCATAGTGTTTTGATGAATCAGTTGATTAAACATATTTTTAAATTCTACAAGAAAAGCTGTGAAGTGCGGCCCTGAACTTGTTATGTTTTCAATACTGTGGTTATTGTTTAGTTCCTGAGAGTAGGTTCGGTTATGACCTCGATGTGAATTAGTCATTGTGTTGTCGGAGCGAGAAGTGGCGTTTCCATTATTTGATGTGTTATGATTATGTAATGTTGTTGGATTATTTTTGAATTTATTGTATAGTTTTTGGTAAATTGGGCACCCACGATAATAAGCACTGTGCTCCATAGAGCAGTGATAGCAACGGTTCGGTGCGTCGTTCGATTTTTTACAGTCGGCAGTACTATGGTTATCTGAACATCTGGCACAAACGTGGGGTCTGTTGCAATATTTTTTCGTGTGACCAAACAATAAGCAACGTTTACATTGTATTACTGTTTTATTATTATTAGGAGGTTCTACACAAATAATGTGATTTAAAATTTTTGTTATCAAGTAGACATCTTTATTATTTTTATTCGGTTCTAAATCTACGTAAAAAAGATTGAGCGGTGATTTAGTTACTCTGCTAATAACATTTGTAATATTTCTGACTTTGTGACCCAATGAAGCAAGTGCGTTGACAATTTGACTTACGTCCGTTGTATGATGCAGGTATCTAATGACTATCCGATACGCCCTCTCCTCTTTCAATTGGTATGTATGGTGTGTTACTTTAGTGTTCTTAAAGTGTTTTGTAAGTGTACGAAACACATCAGAATTCTCAAATAAAATTTTGATTGTGTTATTGTTGACAGCGCGCAATGTATATTGTTTTGAGTCAATAATTGTGTTTAGTTCATGAATCATTTTGTTCATGTCATCAACGTCATAAGTAAATATA